ATATTTATATTTATTTATTTTTCTTTCCCCGAAGAAAAATTGCTTCTTTCTTGATTCGCGATTTTTTTCGTTTCCACCCTTAAAAAAAAAAACAGTCGGTAGGGTTTCACCACTTCCATCAGAAACCAGACCAGCACTCCCGTTCCGTTAACGGGACGTGCAGCACTCGCGCTCGTTACGCAAATTGTTTTTCATGCGCGTTTAACCAACGCTTTATGAAAGTTTGTAGGAGAACGTCGTTGGTGAAAATAAACGATGGCCGGACTTGACGAGCACACGAGACTGCATCCCCGAGTACTGAATGACTCGGTTTTGCCTACCACTCGGAACTTGCTACCAAGCTTATACACTTCTATGTAATATATGTATGTACATACGTATATATACGAGCATTGTATATAAAACGAAACACATATATACGTCTAACGCATAAATAATTATTGAAATATTATTAACTACATAGTTATACCGTGAGTCTCTTTTGCTATATTTTTAAAAATATTAATATTTTTATTTTTTTTTAAATTAAAATTATATAAAAATAACAACAAAATATAATCTATTATAGATAATATTCTAGAAACCCTAAAGAGAGTATTAAGAGTAATAAATATTCTTTAATTTATTAAATACCAAAATATATAACGTGTTGAAAAATTTCATTCCCGTGGCATTAGTAAAATCTATCATGCCGACAGAGGGTTAATTAGAGTATCCTTAAAAAAAAGGGAATATTAAATATTGTATCTGATGTAAATGAGAAGATAAATGAGAGAGAAAAATATGTAATACGTAAAAAAAGGAACACGTTAGAAGCTAAGAAGAATGATGATGAAGAAGGGAAGGAAAGGAGAAGTTAAGCTAATCGAAAGATGAACGGTTTCTCGGTCGTCGTTTAATGTTTTGTTTGAACTATTTTAGTGCCAAAAAACAATTTTTAAAAATCCGTGACAGATTGTGCCAAGCAGCGCGATAGCGCTTCGTTTATTTATCTGCGAGAAATGCTGGATCGTCGCGATTGCGTTGCTTATTCGCTAAATTCGAAACCAAACGGGGAGGGGGGAGGTGCGTTGCGAATTAACGATCGTAATCAAACATATCGCGGCACATTTAACAACAGTACGCGAACACCGCGATCGTTATTGTTTTTTGTTTCTATTACGAATCTCGTCGTCGAATTTATAAACACATTGACTTTCCTGTTCGTTGGAAAGGTGGGTGATTCAGAAGTTTGTCTAATGTACTGCGTAACTGTTTTCATAGTTAGTGTTAGCCTACTTTTAATGTCGGTAGACGTATAACGATATTAAATAAGTATCAAATTTATTTCGCGTATATATATATATATATATATACTTGTGCACATTTTGTTGCTATGCAAATGATATGCATATGTGCACGAGTGCGTGTACTGTTGGAGAGTGATATACATATGCATACGTGTATATATGAGCATCGTATATAAGACCAAATGCATCTAACGTAATTTATTATTGAAATATTATTAATTATGCTAGAATTTGTGTGTGCAGGTACCGGTAAATGAAAGAAGTTTAAATATGAGTATATGCAGATACGTAATAGTACTTGTGATATACATTAATGGTTATCAGTCGCTGTTTCTAAATTACATTTGTGCCTAATTTTCATTGATTTACATTGATTATGATTATCACTATTTCCAACAATTATGTTCGAATGATGATCATGACAGTAGTCGTTCCTACTCTTTGATAATCAGCCAAACAATTTGATGGAGTTTTTATATTAATCTTATAAAAGTAAGTGCATACGCTATATTCTAATTTAATATATTACACATATACATAATTATCTAATTAATTCTTTACAGCATATATATATGAGATATATTTATCCTAAATATGTTTCCTGTTTCAATAACTAACAATCACTTTCTAAAGCTTTTTAAAATGAATGCAATCACAAGTTCTATAATATTGTCATTCTTGATTTTCTTTGATTTAAATTATCAGCAATGCTTATTATGACTTTAATTGAATTGTTCAATGTATTTTACTAACGTATGTATCAGGCATTTAGTGTTTTGTGTTATTTTAAATAAATTTTTAATTATATTTTTACACAAATATAAAACCAAAAAATTTGTTTCTGACAAGTAATTATTTAAATTGACATAAATATTAGTTAGTGATTTTTTCTTGAATATAAACGATATAAATTCACTTCTAGGAAAATATCCAATTAAAAATTCGATACACGACAACCATCTTTCTTCTTTTCCAAGAATCCGAGCACGTAATCTTTCAAGAGTATTAACTTCGTTTCGGGATTAGGCGTTTCATCGCGGTTATATCATTCCGTTTATATACTTGTGTCTATATTAGAAAAAATGAGAGACAGAGAGAGAGAGAGAGAGAGAGGGAGAGAGAGAGAAAGAAAGAGAAATGGAAAGAGGGTCGGATTACTTTAATCATCGCGTGTTCAACGGAAAAGAAAAGAAAGGAAGGAAGGAGAAAGAAAAAAAAGATAAAGAAGAACAGGGATGAAAAATGGAAAGGATAAAAATACATTACCCCGAATGGGACTTATGTTGAAAGAAGATCAAGTATTTAATGGAATGATAATGTATTAAAAGATAACGCTTGCATATAGAGATCATATATAAATATATATATATATATATAAAATAATTATGAATATTTTTCCATGAATTTTATAATTCAACATCGCATTAATTGATTTAAAGTATTATTTAATTTTCTTGAATGTTTCTCTCTAAATCGTATTAAGCCAAATTTATATATTTAAAAATAATCAGATTTTTCGATTATATATTTTCAATCTTTTTTATCGAAAAATACATTATATTTAGATAAGTATTATTATTTATTGTCATAAATAGAGAAATATGTATATTTCTATTAGTCAAATATTTACCGGTTCTCGATGTCGAAAATAGTTGGCGCGAATCTAAGCCAAAATAATTTTCCACTGTTTAATGCTTTGGCGTTTATCAAATATCGTTAGGATTTTTGAATGTAATTTAAATAGACAATGTGAAATCACGAAAGAAAGGTAAATGAAAGAGAGAGAGAGAGAGAGAATGAGAATGAGAGATTCATTTGGTGAAACACGTGACCGGAAATAGCCTTATAATGGTCAATAGATTTTTTTTCATTTGCAAGTAACTATTATTGAGCAATAAAGTTCTTTCCCCCATTTCTATTAGGTAATTGAATTTTATCTCTTCAGATTGTAATGTCCTTGTTTGCTTTCAATGAAGCCAAATTTACAAATTGTCATTGTTGATTATTACCTTCTATTATTTCTTACGACAGAATCATCTGTTTCTCTTGCATTATTTTTTCTTTCTCAAATCAAACGTTTCTTGTTCTCAACACATTTGTTACCAAACTATTTCCATTAGACTATTAGATCATAGTCGCTTATTATATTTTTGCTTTCAATGAAGCCAAATGAAAATTGTCATCGTTGATAGGTTGATCATTTTGTCATGTTGTTTGCTCGTTTGTTCGTGTTTTTTTTCGCAAATCAAACGTACCTTGTTCTCAACAGATTGTCGCGTGAGATAATTTTCTGAGTACTGCTAAGGTTTTTTGTTAGATCATTTACATTTGTTTTTGTTTTATATAAGAATATATAAATATTGTATCTCGATGTCTAATTTTGATCATTTTATATATAAAATTGAAACAAAACAATTTGAATATATTTGATACAATATTGCGAGGGTGAGAGAAAATTCGAGAAGTGTGTGATATTTCTAGAAACATTGATAGACGATTTCTTTATAAGTAACGCTAATGGGGTAAGGAAATGTTATTGTCATTTTTTTGTCATGTGTGTGATTATATGGGTTGAGTGTGTGAGAGTTTATCGTAGGATGAAAGAAAAAAAGATCGTTTCTCAAGACGGGAATGCATATGCTTTATTTGTAAGGTAACACGTGTAATAAACATTATTAAACGATATTAAATAAATAAAATAAAATTAATAAATATAAATAAAGTGTAAATCTTACAATATATATATATATATATATTTTAATCTGGATAAAGCTGTTTTAATTTTATTTAAATATACAATAGTGTCTCTCATTTTTTTAAGAACGAATTTAATGAATTTATTATTTTCAAAAATTTTCTATAAAATTATTTGAGAAATATAGAATACAATTTAATAATTATTATTTAATATTAAATCGGATTACATTATCGGACGTGTTAATAATTTGACTTCTTGATTATTGTTATTTTTTCAATAGGGATTTTTTTTACAAGTGAAATTATGAGAATGCGTGTTTGCAAAGATTCGCAATGAAAACTCTCGAAAATTTATTATATCCTTTTTGATCATTTTCTTGGCATTAGAATAAAATATCTACCGCGTGCGTATAGTATGCACAACTGCGTTATTTGTATTCTTTCATGGACTCGTGTGAGTCTTATATGAACGTATGTAAATAGTCTAACCAAGTCAGAGAGTAACGGAAAGAGAAGACGTTCGGTACACCGTGAAACACAAGTGTTCATTGAAGTTTAATTTTCTGGTACAATTTCAACCCCTTTCTTATTTTTCTAACATTAACACTTTTTAAAGAATCTATTTGTTTAATCACCAATTTAATTACTCAAACTAAACCATAATAGAAATTCTTAACAATTTCATTATTACACAATACATTCAATTAATAATCTAAACATTACACGTATTGTTATTAAGAATTTACCTTTATGAATAACTAATTTGATTACTCAACAGAAATTCTTCGTAATTTCATCAATACACTCACAAAATATATATGTATATTTTTAACAATTTGATTACTGGACAAAACACAGAAAATTAATAATCCAGATCATATATTTTTTAATCTAAAACAAAAATATATTATATATTTTAATAAAAGAGTGAAAAAGAAACAAATCAATAAAGTAATAAGACGACAAATTTTGGTGACAAATGAATTAATGAGAAAATAAATTTGATGATTTTAGGCCGCCGCGATGTGGCCTGGAGTACAACTTCTACTACTGTTACTAGCAGTCCTGCTACATTCTTCAAGGTGAGTCATAATATTATTGTTTAATTGTCTTATGTTCTACTTATTTCATATCGTTTGGACTTAAAGTCAGTCAAGGACATCGGTGCATGGAACGATATAACAAATTCGTTATTGGAACGGTGTCAAAAACCTCAATGGCTTAACGCCAATGACATTTTTCTATCGTTTCTCAAGCTTTGGACGATTCTCGAAAAGATATTTGAACCGATTCGATTGACCTTATCGAATATCTAACGTTGATATCATCGAAACGCTTCGATTGTTGTGTGTTTTTCGAAATAAAGAAATGCAAGAGAAAGAAAAAGAGAGAAAGTAAAGGGAGAGAGAGAATATAAAATGATAGGAAAACGATACGAGACACAGGATATTTCAATGTCAATAAAAAATTATCGTGTTTACTTGGAAAAGTAATCAAAGTCTCTTCTATACGTTCAATCCTCGAATAAAAACCAATCGTTTCTGCTTCACGTGTTCAAATATTATAGTTTCATTCGTTTTTTACTATCGATATTGATTATACATCGAGCATTTAATAGTTTTTCAAATTGATTTCAACTAGTTTTTTCATTTATATACAAATATTTTATTATATTATGTAATTGGAAAAAATGAACGCAACAACAACAACGTCGTAAAAATATATCTTATTTATGTGTATACGTAAATTTTTGCGTAATTGTGTATGTTGATTTAATACGACTAATTAACCAAAAAGTGTCATGATGGAAGTTCTTTGTTGAAATCATAGAAGTAGAATAATTTCTGTACTATACTATGCATATGTACATCGTTCTTGGCAGCTTCTTTGTGCGTCTATTAATATTCCACGTCCACTTATCGCAAACTGTTCTCAAGTATTATCCTCGTAATTTATCCTTCCTCTTTCTATTATCTAATAAAATATGAATTTCCATTGGACACTTATCAAATAGAACGACGTTAGAATAACGTCATCTACAATTGAATTTCAATCAAATATTCAAAATATTAGTTTATGATACTAAAAAATAAAAAAAAGATTTCATTAACAATATATAGTTTCGATTTAAAAAAAAAAAAAAAAATAAATAAAAACAGAAAAAAAATTCAATTTAAATGAGTCGCCGGCCATCGAGAAATTTCAAAAACAAAAAAAAATACGATGCGGGTTTCCCGTACACGCGATGATGATTTAATTGGACGAAAAAAAAAATTCACAGATCTGACGCACACGTACACGCGCATATTATACACTAGATTACAGAAATGCATACACAGATAAAACGTATTTCCAGTAGAAAAAGTTGAAAGATTGAAAAAGGAGATAGGGTGGTATCTAGCCGTCGGTGATTTCACTTTGCAATTAGCATTGGTTTTACCTTGATATGCGAAAAAAAAAGAAAAAGAAGGGAGTAAAAAAGGAAGATGGTGGAGGAGGAGGAGGAGGAGGAGGTGGGTTGTTGGTGAGCGCTGGTAGTTGAGCGTCATCAGGCATTCATTTGCAACTAATGACGAACCGGTAACATTCCAGGAGTATCAGTAAAACTGACATCTACAAGACACATATGAACTAGTAGGAGAGACACGTTTTTCTGACTTGATAGATAAATGGCTGGTACGAAGTAACGAGCTGCAATAGCAGCTGCAGAATCAACAGTAGATGCAGTTTCTGACGATTCAGAACCGTGAAACTAACTCGCCGATTTAACCGACGCGTATCTACCGACTTTTCGAATTTTCTTCTTTTTTTTCTTCTTTTTTTCCTTTTCGAATAACCAAGCTAACTTTCATCACGTCACTCATATCTGTCACCAAATTTAATCCCTACAATTCTTCTAACTTTTTAGGCCTATTCATTTTATCAGTTCAATATATATATATATATATTTTCTTTTTATTATTTTCTTCCTCATTTTTCTCTCAATTTTTTTCTATTTTTTTTTTTTATTTTTATTCGAACGTCGACGATATTTTAATAATGTATGCGCATAAAAATCGATATTAATTATTCACCGTACTTTTTCTTTTCTCTTTCTCTCTCTCTCTCTTTCTCTATTTTCCTTGTTTTTTTTTCGATAGAATTTAGAAAATGATTTGATCGTTAAAAAAAAAGGAATATCGATCGTTATAAAAATTAGCCAAGATCGTGGAAAATAACACACGATCTCAAAAGTTTTTCTAATAAAGTTGACAAGTAAACTAGTTGAAGCGGCAATATTTTCACCTTTGGACCGAAAGTTAACTACAATGGTACTTCTCAATTCGAGGTCTTTGTGTCGAAGGATCGAAGAATAGAATAAAATTGAAAAAGACATAGAGAAACAGAGAGAAAGAAGTAGAAGAAGTTTTACTGGATAAGATGTAAGAAGAAGAAGAAGAAAAAGTGGAAGGAAAGGAAAGGAAAGAGACAGAAAAAGAGTTGTTTAGAAGGGGCGATGGTTGGTTGATGTTGGGGCCGAGAAACAGGGTTGAAATTTTAATATGCGAATAGAGATAAAGATGGAAGGTTGTATGTTGATGCCCATGGCGCCAAAGTCCGGGTCGGGGTGAAGCAGCTTTGAATAGCCTTGGTCCGAGGCGCCTCTCCTAACTTACAGTGCACACCCTTCTCACCCTACTACTTCTATTCCACCCCCACCCTCACCCTCACCCTCACCTTCTCCTCTTCTTGTACCGTCTTTTTCTCTCTCTCTCTCTCTCTCTCTGTGTTAACCCTTGCTCACCCCTTCCCTTCTTCTTCTTCTTCTTCTTCTTCTGGAAGTTCAGAACGTGGCTTGCCACCACGGGGTGGCTTCAGGGGAGGGAAGTTTTTCATTAGAGATCAGCCCGGAGCTACAGACTGGTTTAAATATTTCACCGGAACATCGTCAAGAATCGTGGCACGTAATAACAAAAAATCTGGGATGTCAGGGCAGCGCGAACTTTCACCAACACCATCCCACACCTCACCTCACCTCACCGCACCATGCCTCATCACACCTCACTTCACTTCACCACCTCACCTTGCCAAACCAAACCACAACTGCGGTTCTCTTATTCCTATTCTACACGACAAAAAATAAAATATTTTATCGTGTTCTCGTTTCTTTCAAAACAATCAAAATATTTAATAATATTAAAAGTATATATATATATATATATATCTAGAAATAGTTGAATTGGTGTTATGGAGAATTTGTTTAATTTTTTTTTATACAATTTTGTGTAGCTCGAGTTACTTAAACATGGCTTTTGGTTATGGCTTTTTTTAAAACGATTGAATAATTTAAGAATCAAAATAAGTTAACAATTTCATATATAAAGTGTAATGTTTACAAAAAAAAAAGGATCAATGTTTATTAAGATAGATATATATGTGTTTATAATAGATATTTGTTAATAGAAAATAATTCTTATGAATAAAAAAAAAAGAAATATTTATATGCATATAGATATGCACATTCGTTAATAATTTATTTTCTTCAAGCATATTTTTTGATTAAATGTAAAATATTTTCTTCATATTTAATTTGACGAGAGATCAAGGATTGAATTTTATTAGAAGTATCGAAGAAATGAAAAACAATGTACAAAGTACTTTCGCAATAATCTCTCTCCCTCTCTCTCTCTCTCTCTCTCTCATTCTCTTGCATATTCTCGAATAACTTGCATAACATCGATTACAAAAGTTACAATCTCAGAAAATATATTTTTTTTCTACACACACTTTCGTGGATATCATTTGACTTTATACGACATTTTCAATAATACATTCCAGCGTGGATTTAATTTAGGTGTCGCTTTCCCTCCGTTCTCGATACAATATACGAAACAATTTGAACGGGAGAACGAAATAAATAAACGTGATTAAAAGTTTCTTCTCGTTTCTCTTCAATAGCATCACCAATTTCTCTCTCTTTCCGTTTCTTCTTTTTTTCTCACCCTCTTCTCCCTTTTCACCGTTTCACCGTCTCACCCTCTCACCCTCTCACCCTCTCACCCTCTCATCCCACACCTCGAGTTCTGAACTCGTTCGTAAACTCCTTTAAGAAAGACAGCTTTTCTTTAACTTCGGAAACGATTCGAAATCGAACGATTTCTCTTCAAGCTTATAAAAAAAGAAAAAAAAAAAAAGGGGGAAGAAAAAGACGTTAAATTTTTTCTGCCACTAATACGATTTCACAAAAAAATAAAAAAAAATTAAGGGGATGAGAATTATTTTTTCTTTATTTTTGTTCCGTTTTTTCTCTCTCTCTCTCCCTCTCTCTCTTTCTAATAAATCAATCTTGATCTCTTATCTCACGAAGATTTAAAATCAGAACGAGAAAGAAAAAACATTGATGATTGATTATTTTTTCATCGATGGCTTTGAACGATTTGTTTTGGAACAAAAAAAAAAAATAAACAACAACAAACCAACGTAGTGCGTTATAAATGTGTGTGTGTGTACGTTGGTGTGTATTTTAAGAGAATGTGGTAAGAAGAAGATGAGTATCGACGGAAGGAAGGAAGGAAGGAAGGAAAGGATATATTTTTAATATACAGGTTTCTTTGGAAGAGAGGAGAAAATGTTTCGAAAGTTTACAAAAGGATCTAGGTCAGGTCAGCTGTTGGATCATCATCGTAGTCGTTGTCGTTTCGTTTCGTTTCGTTTCGTTTCGTTTTCTGTTGACAACGTTTCGGGTGGAAAGCAAGTTCACTCGTTATTCCTTGTGACGTGATCAAAGATCATGACTCGCAAAATCCTGTCGTTGTGCAATCAATCATCCTAACAAAGCTTTGAAAATTTTTCAACAAGGATACAAAAGCTGAAAAAAGAAAGAAATAGATAAAGAGTGAGGAAGTAGAAAGAAAGAGAGAGAGAGAGAGAGAGGGAGAGAGAGAAATAAAAAAAGATAGAAAAAGAGAAAGAGAAAAAGAAAGAAAGAAATAGAGGTAGTTTTTTTTCTTTTTTATTTTTTTACTTTTTTTTTTTTTCTTATATAAAATATATATGTAGTCGAACGGGGTGATGCATTATTCCGTAATAACTTCGAATATCCGATAATTATGGCTGAAAAATCTTTTGTAATATCGAATGAAAATGTAAGTGGAAATGTTACCGAGATAATTCGACCGAATTGTCATTTTAAATTCTATTGTCAAAGAGAGTGAGAGAGAGAGAGAGAGAGAATATTCCTATTTTTCCTCCACCTCATCCTCCTCCTCTTACTCCTACTCCTTCTAGTACTATCTATACCTACCTTTATTACAAACGAAAGATCGGAGATAGTAGAAGGAAGAGAGGTCTGTGATCTTGACCGGAAATAACTCTTCGTATATAGAATCGCAGTGTATTTTCAAGAGTATCCTTTAACGTCACTGATTGCTACTTCATTGTCAGACGATGAATTTCGTCACAATTTCATGGATGACAAATTTTTCTCTTTCTTTATTTATTTCTTCTTTTTTTTTTTCTTATTAGCGTCTCTCGCGTACGTTATAATTTTATTTTATTTATTATTATTATTTTTGTTGTCTCTATTATTCTCATGCAACCAACGAAATTAATTCGAATCTATCTATCTCTCTCTCTCTCTCTTTGTTTCTCTCTTTTTGGAAAATTCTAAATGTAATATTCTATTTAATCGCTTCAAGCGATACCATCGGATAATTACGATCGAATCTTTTCTGTTTAAAATGAGATGATGGGGTTTAGAGGATGGGAAAGGATTTAAGGTGGTTGGAATGGAGTTGTTGAACGAAGAATTTATTCCGAAGTATACTCGCGTTATTTTCCCGTAGCGGTTTTAACGAAAGTTAACGAAGAAAATCAGATACTTCGAGACGAAAGATTTTCAAGCCTTTTGTTAGTACTCGTAGATAGTCAAGATTGCATCTTATGAATTTAGAAATAGGTTGTAAAGATACCCTTCGGGGAATAGACTGACTGACTTTAAAAGGATTCTACGGATACGTGTCAAGGATTCCAATTTTCTTAGACGACAGTAGTCCGAGATTTGATTATTGATACGTAAAAACGAACAATTTTTGTTCTTATGTGTTTAAGTATATTCAATTATTAGTTAAGTGTATCAATTTTAACAAAATTTAATTCCAATCCAAATGTTAATAATTTATTTGTTTTATGATTCGATAACATTGTCGTATTTTTGATTGATCATAAAATTATAATCAAAATTGTCATAAATATTATCAACAAACTCTTTGGTATATAATATTTTGTTGAAAAATAAGAATAAAAATAAAAATAAAAGATAACAGGAAAATATCGAGAATATATTATTTAAGTCAATAATATTTATTATTCTTATAAATTCGATATTTTCAATGGCATAAAATTAAGTCGAAAAATTTGTCGTAAATTTGATATCAAAGAAGTTTAGTCGATATTATGTTGAAAATAAGAGAGAAACGAAGAACAAAAAGAGGAAAAAAAAATAGAACAGGAAAAGAAAAGGAATATCGAGAATATATTATTATTTATGTCAATAATATTTATTATTCTTATAAATTCGATGGTTTTATATTTTGAATGGCATAAAATTAAGTCGAAAAATTTGTCGTAAATTTGATATCAAAGAACTTTAGTCGATATTATGTTGAAAATAAAAGAGAAACGGGGAAGAAAAAGAGAAAAAAAAAACAGAAAAAATAGAACAAGAAAAGAAAAGGAATATCGAGAATATATTATTATTTATGTCAATAATATTTATTATTCTTATAAATTCAATGATCTTATATTTTGAATGGCATAAAATTAAGTCGAAAAATTTGTCGTAAATTTGATATCAAAGAACTTTAGTCGATATTATGTTGAAAATAAAAAAGAAACGGGGAAGAAAAAGAGAAAAAAAAAACAGAAAAAATAGAACAGGAAAAGAAAAGGAAAGGAAAGGAAAGGAAACAGGAAAAAAGAATATTATAGTGCGAGATTTTTCAATCAACGCTACGTAAGAGGAAGTTTCATCTCAATAATTACCCGAATGCAGAGTACCGAGGAGGAACGCGTTTGCAAAGTATTCCTATGCGCGCTGTGATTAAAGTTAAAATTGTCGTCGGTGGCGGTGGGTACCGTTCAAGACCATTTCGTACTTCTTTCTCATCAAGATGAGATAGGAGAGTTTCTGCTTAGAAGAAAGAAAAAGAGAATGAGAGGGAGAAAGAGAGAGAGAGAGAGAGAGAGAGAGAGAAAGAAACATCGCGAGGCAACTTCGAATACGGGATGCGAGCACTCAGCCAACCAAGTTCCTTTTTTTGTGCGTTTCGTGCGCATTTTCTCGTCCCTTTGAAGGACGAGTTAGTATTCCGAAAGTGCTATGACATTTCGACGAAATTCCATTTTCATTGGATTTTCACGATTTTCCAAGAATATTACGATTCTAAATGTATCTATATATAGATGATATGTATGTATATAATTTTTATTCGAATGATTAATGAATGTAATCGTGAATTTAATATTCCATACATTTGTGTCCGAAATGATTTGATTGATTGATTGATTGATTGATTTATTTATTATTTTGCAATCTTATAGTTTTATTTTTGTATTGTTTGGTTTTGTTTAAATCGAGTATTTTCGCACCCGTATAATGTTTATTTTAATTTTTAATAATCGATGAACAATTTCGTAACACCTCCAATTTCAAAGAAGTTTCTTTTATCTAAATTCGAGAGATATTTGAAATTAATTTTGTAAACGTATTATTTCAACATTTATTATATATAAAGTGAATGTTTTTTTTTTTTTGTATTAATTAATAATACAATGGGTATATCGATAATATAATCAGTTTTATTTATATGACGAGACGGAATGAAATTTTGTTAAACGTAATTAAACGCAGATTCGTATTATTTTGATAATTATATATCGCAAGATAGAGAAAAGAGATGCAATTTAAAATTTCAAACTAGGGATTAGTTCCAGGTAAAAACTTCATTTCATCAATATTTATTTTTCATTTCGTTCTCTTCTCGATATCTAAATTAATGTTTTCTTTCTATCAATCGAAATTACTCAACATCACAACTGTTCATTAAACTAGCAAATTTATCAATAAAGGTCCTGTATTTAAAAAAAAAATGATGAATAAAAGTATACTAATACTTAAATAGATTTACACTTTTAAACGTACAACGATCGATCTTAAATTTCAGATTAAAATTTTGCATTCGATGTAACTAGTTTTTGTTGTTGTTGAAATTGACTCTACCTAACAATAAGAGTTAACAAATTATTGTTTGATTTAATAAGAAAAGTTTATTGAATTTATTATTAAACGAAATTTATTATTATATTCGAAATTAATGATAAAAAATATAATATATTAACCAGTTAAGTGTGTTTGACGACTATATCCGTCATGGAAGAATGGCAGAATTTTGTGTTTTGACGGCTATATCCGTCATGCGTAAAATTTTGATACAATTTGAATATTTAAATTGTAATTCTGGCGAAAACTAAATGATATTCGTAAATATTAATATGTTTAGAATGTTTAGGGGTCAGGACGAAATGAAATAAACAAATGAAAATTACAGATAATTTGAGTTGGACACTAGATCTTTGATTATTCCGATTTTTATTTTGACATGTCATAACCAAAAAAACAAAGTATATTAGATTCTCCATCTGCGATGATGTCCGCGATGTCTAACCAAGGAAAAAAAAAAAAAATTTTGTTTGTTTGTTTGTTTGTTAAATATTTGATTTTTTTTAAGTTTGTCGTTAATTATGTATAAATATAGCTTTACGTTGATCCATTGTTTAAATATTACTTATAAATTCATTCATTTTCTAAAATAAAGTCGTCTTTTTGACCGAATATTTCAACAGTGCCACTTACTCTGTGTTTGACGACTATATCCGTCATCGCTTGATTATCACGACACACATTAGGGCGCACTTTGCAAAATGATCGACACAGTTAACTGGTTAAGTTGAACGCAAACTGTTGTTTTTTTGGTATAGTGATTGTTAACAAGAAAATTTCTTTGATGTTTCAGATGTTCGCAGGCAAAAGTGAACTATCGAGAGAAGGAGAAAGAGGTGTTGGACAACATCCTAGGTCCAGGAAGATACGACGCGCGTATCCGGCCGAGCGGGGAAAATGGAACAGGTGAATATAGAGTATCTCCATATTTCAACACAAAAAAAAACACTTTACCTTTTCGCCATATACTTTAATCGTACATATAGTATATAAATAAATATACATAATATTATATACGATTATTAAACACAGCGAGAACACGTTGAGATAAGTTCATAAGATGTCCCGGCTTATGATAAATGAATTTCATTCTATATAAATACACAACGAGATAAAGAAAATCTAAATAGATTAAAGATAATAACTAAACTAACAAAGTAACAAGTAAATAAATAACGAAACGAAACGAAACGATAAAGTAGGAAAGAACAAAAATAAATGTAGAAAATAACGAAAGGGCGCATCGACGAAACTTTTCAATTCCGTCGATTCGTGAAAAAAGTATGGAAAAAAAAAAAAAAAGAAAAATATAAGAAAAAGAAAAAAGATCGTCTTGATTTTCGTTTTCGATCTATCGAACGAGTATATATATATATACACGTTTTCTAAGGCTTTGATTTTTCTTCGAAATATCTTGAAAATGTATTTTTCGAGGGTAACGTCGAGGACGTGTCTTGGGCGGCGCAATTTCACGAATCCCACGAGACTCGTTTCATTCAAAGGAACTTACAGCTTTTCCCTTACCCCACCCCCATCCCCATCTCCACACCCCTACCCCTCATCCTCTACTTTTATCTCTTTCTTTATCTATTTATCTATCTTTCTCTCTTGCCTTTCGTATATCCTTTTTCGGATAAAACGGTTTTACGCTAGACGCGTCTGTTTCTGACAGCCTGTTTCGAGAAACCACGATGCATCGAAACGCATTTATAGAATTGTTGTTTTATTTTTCTTCGGTTCTTTCTATAACCCTCTACAACACCACCCCGTTAACCACCCCTCACCCTCCGACGCTAGATTCTTTGAAATTTTCTTTACATTTACCTGCTTTGTCTGTCTCCTTTCTCTCTTTCTCTCTCTTTCTTTTTCTTTTGAATTCTTTAAAGAAATACTCGAACCAATGAACGCGATTTTATATTATTCGATAAATGTTTTTCATTTGAAAATTGAAGCTACTTTTTGGAATAGACAATTATTTGATATTTCGTATTTTATGGAACATTAATTTTTCTATTATTGAAATAATTTTTCTTTTCAAATATCATTCACCGATTATTTTTTATATGACATATTAATGTATAGAATATTTCTTTCGCGATTGGAAAATAATATAAGACAATATTAATTATAAAATTATTCTTCTTTTTTAAATCTCGAAAATAATTTCATCAGAATTATTATTTCTTTGCTTAATTTGTGTCTTTACTAATAACATTAAATATAAATATTATGTTTTCTACAAAGTGTTTAATTACAATTTTTTTTTCCTTAATCATCCGAGAGATTCGTTTTAGAATTTACAATTTTCGTTTGAAGTAAGAAGCAAGGAGTTAAGAAACGTTGATAAAATCGATCAATCTTTTTTTTTTTTTAGTTTTGTTACTTTGTAAAATTTGAAATTATTTCTTGATTTGCGGGTGCAAAGAAGAAGAAAAAAGATTGCGATTGGTGCATCGGATTTGCATGTCGTATGATGATGTGTTAAAGCAACAAACCGGTATATCTTGTAAAATTTTTACGCGATTCACCTTTATGTAAAAAAAAAAATATATATATATATATATTTAAAGAGTATTAATTTTAATCTTTTACAAATACGTAATTAAAAAATCAAGTTATATATTTTTTACGTAGAATTTTTTTAAATTCAATAAAATAAATTGTACGCGTTTCAATATACAAATAAAAATAATTTTTAATAATTACAAAATAATTTTAAGTAGCAAAGTATTTTGTTTTTTTTTTTTTCATTTTTTTCCGAAAATTAGCATTTGTTTGAGCGGACTGCGCGTATCATCAGAAGTTTTGGAAATTCTGCGCTATAAAATATAACCGAGGAAAAGATCCACGGAATTTCGTAGGTGGTTCTTTCAAAGAAATAACCTGCATGTAGTAATAGGCAAACGTTATATACGTCGATGCTTCCGCACCATTGTCGTGCCAAGCACAGAATGAATAGCTCTCTTCTTCGCAGCTGGTGACCATGACACATAAGACGCAAATAACACAGAGAAAGAGAGAACGAGAAAACGAGAGAGAGAGAGAGAAAGAAAGTGTGTACATGCGGAATGAGAGATGTGTGGGGGTGGTAGAAGGGGTGGTTGGTAGTGGGAACACATTCGTGTGTGTTGGGGGTAAGAAAAAGAAAGCTCGCAATGACGCAATGTATAAATTAGAATATATCTCACATCTTGTGAGAAAAAAATCATTAAGAAATTCTTCAAACGTATGTATATCCATCCGCACATGCGTTTGTGTCTGTTTGTCTGTCTCTCTGTGCGTGCGCGTCTATCTGTGTTTGAGAATTTTTGAAGAAAAATGATGAGAAATATTCCAACCAAAGTAGAATGTTTAAAAAGAACTTTTCTCATTTCTAAAACTTCTATCGTGTCAAGTCAAAGAAATAGATGAATCTTGTACAATTTTTCGAAGTGTCTTGAATTGAATTTGTCTTGAAAGATGGTATATAGATTATTTTTGTATTTCAATATTGCCGAAGCTTCGAATTGAAAAGTTTTTAAATATAACATTATTTTTTCAATCCAAATATATTTTTAATTTTATTAAAAATAAAATACAAAAAAAAAATTGGATATATATACAGTTAATATATGTTGCAAATGAGAGAAAAAGAAAGACAAAGTAGGAGAGAGAGAGAGAGAGAGAGAGAGAGAGAGAGTAAATAATAAAAAAAATGGTTTGATAAAAGAAGGATATCATTGGATCGTGAAAAATGATGAATCGTGCATTTTGTAAGGCATGATTTACATTTATGTACATTGCAAATCATGTCTAAACAATGTTCTCTTCCTGCCGTCTACAGGGTGCGAAGGGAAGTGTGGTGAAAAAGAGAAGTAGGGTTGGAAGAAGAGCTTGTTCTAACTGAAGGGCCATCGCGATTTGTGTACTTCGCGTACATCCTACGACATTGCGCCGCCCTTCGTATAGATATTGCGTCCGATAACGATCTATAGCAAACGTCTAAAACATGATAATAGAAATCTGAATTTTCCAATCGGATATTAAACAATTAAACGACTATTATCGAGAAATTCACATGTGTTTCTCAAATTATCAAACGACTCGAACAATAGTCAAATCCCATTGGTGATTATTGTTTCATGATATTTTTTCATTATTTTTCTTAATTTTTATGAAATATTTTTTTTTATCAACAAATTTATGCTCTTAAAATTGGATAATAATTCGTTAAACTTTTTATTCTTTTATGTATACTTATTATTTATATATAGTATATATAGTATATATTATATTTATATTATTATTATTTTATTATAATTTTGATTAATTTTCGTTTATCCACGTTTCTACAAGAATTGTTAAACTATTGAAACTAAAATATTTCATATCTTCTTACTTTGTAATAAAAATGATAAATCTACGTTTCTATGTAAGATACTTTTGGAAACAGCAATAACACTAATTTATGTTATTTTTCTCTTTGATTTTGCTACATTCAATTTTCTTTATTTTTCTCGGACGTTGTTACCCTCGAAAAAGAAAACTTTTATGAAGAAAATTCTTCTTTTGCATTGTCATCGTAGATAAATTGTCGAAAATTCTTTCAATATATTAACACATATACGTACGTTACATTTACAGAAAATTTTGTACAATAACAACATCGTACAAAATGATGAATATCTGAATCGAAATGCGAATAAGTTTGAAGAAAAATCATGCTACAATCATTTTCTTTTTCTAATCGAACAAATGAACGATAAATCAAATTGTTTTTAATCGCTTATATAAAAATACGCGATAAGTATAATTTTATTCTAATATTTGCGAATAGAAAATAATCATTCAGAAGTTCTCGCTCGCACCATTTAACTAAATATTCTATTATTTTATTTAAATAAATGTACTTTTATTTCTCATATCAAATTACTCGTATAAGTTTATAAGAAAGATGATCATTAAGGATGATAGCAGCCATAATCATTATTACTAACACCTATGATTGTCAAAAAACTGATCGTCAAGTTTTACCTTCGCGGATTGTCCCAAATTTTTCTTCTTTTTTTTTTCTTCTTCTTCTTCTTCTTGTTCTTTATTCATTAGCATTCATTTTCATAATTTGTTGCCTGTCAATTCTAGGTCACATCATCCCTCGTCCTTGACACTGTTTAGGTATCACTTAACTTGTATGTACTTAGAAGTATAATACTTTAGCATCTTTCCCTTCATTCTAAATTCTATGCCTCGTTAAATTCCCTTAGATCTTATTTTTTTTCTTTTTTTTCTTTCTCTTTTCTTTTCCTTTATTTTCTAGTCTCTATTCCTCATTGTAATTAAAAAACAAAGAAAAAAAATATCCTTTTTGTTTGTCATTAATTTAGTCAAATGAACTTATCGAGGTTGTATATTATACGTATAAAATATATTTTTCAACATATTCTTTTTTCATACCACACAATTCCAATATATTATTTTAACATATATCGATTTTAACATCAACAATATTTTCTTCTTTTATATTTATTTATCATCGAAAAATTAATTCGTTGATCAACAACAACAACAACAACAACAAAATAAGACGTGATTCATCAGTAAAGAGTAATGATTAATCGATTAGATTTATATTACAGAGAACACACATACGAGTCTCAGGTAACGATCATTTAGAAATTAATTTTCTGAATGCTTCTAAACAATGCAGTTATACGCCAAATATATTCTGTGTCTACATGTTATTATAATATTATTATTATATTATTATACAGCGAGAATCACAAGAGTATATTTCTACACATATTATAGTGATCGCTAGCTCGATCGATTATTTGATTTTATTCAATTGCCATAAGTAACATTGCATGTATTATATTACCTGAATATACACCTAACCTATTTACAGCCCCCCCCCAAACCCCCCAGAT